CCGAAATATTCACATCCGCGTTGACAAAAGAAGCGAAATTAATAACAAAGAAAGAGAGAAGAGAGTTAATCAGGACAAGAATGAAGGAGGGCGATAGGTATTGAGGTAAATACTTATAAACGAAGGAAGAAAACGAAACAACGAGAGGAAAGATGACAGAAATAGAGAAGGAAATAAATTAGAACTCGGGTAGTGCAATGCTTTGATGAGAGGGGGCAGCATTCACTTTAATTCATTTCACGATGCAACAGCTTAAATGACAGCCCTCTATGAGGATTATGAATGCTGAATTTAGAAGCTCGAATGACGCGGCTGATCCTTGTATCAGTGTGCTATCGAATACGACGCGGGAATGCATACGGCAATCAGTATTTTCAAGTGGCTACTTAACTTGTAGTGTTCTCCAAGTATAATTAGAATGATCAAGTCAAGGAAGATGAGTGGGCAAGGCATGTAGCACGAATGCGGGAGAAGAGGAATGTATATAGGATATTAGTGGAAAGCCAGAAGGAAAGAGACTACTGGAAAGACCAAGGCGTAGGTGGGTGAAGAGTATTAAAATGGATTTCAGAGAAATAGGATGGGATGGTATGGATTGGATTTATCTGGCTCAGGATATGGACAAGTGGAGGGTTCCTGTGAACACGTTAATGAACCTTCGGGTTCCATAAAATGCTGGGAAATTCCTGAGTAGCTGCAAAATTGGCGGCTCCTCAAGAAGGGCTCAGCTCCATGAGTAAGAAGACTTAACGCTGTCAGTGTGGAGACTGTAGCTTCGCTGATATTACGACTAATTATCGTGAACTAGTTTGTAGGGGAAAACGAAGTGTTTGGTGAGAATCTGCCTCCGTGTCACTTTGTCCACCAGAAATCTCACTTAACCTGGTCTGGCAATGAACCTGGGATGCTGCTTTGGGGGTTAGCCACCCGGAGTATTGCAAGGGGTACATGCTATTACAATGAACAGAGAAGGAATGATCTCGCAAATGAGAAGCAAGGGTAGCAACCACCACTTGGACAAATTTTTACTGAATGGAGTGGTCGTAAAAATACGCCTGTGAACTAGGCTTAGTGACGTATTTGTCTACTATGCATTTAATTAATTCCATGTAAAGGATTCATTTGCTTTCAAATTTCATTTTGTTTAATTGTTTAGCCTGATTTCTTTTTCACAAATAGGCCTTAACCCTGTACCCCTGCAGCAGGAATGGCGAAAATTGTAGCTGCTGGTTCTAATGATTCATCCGTAGTTAGTTACTAACAAGAAGTGATGCTTTGTTTCAGTACTTCCTTGGTTGAATTTGAGATAACTGCTATAGCACGTTATTACGCAGTTATTCAAAATTTTCCTTGTATTTATTTGTTCTGAGGGCAATATAAACAACATTCATTTTGTGATCCCACGTTTTGTTGCAACCCGTTGTGTAAAATTACTGTATTCATAGATAATATTTAATATTAATATATTTCTGTCAACACAACACACTTTCAGCAGGTGGAGTTTGTTGTGTAGGACATTTTTCGACATATGCAGAGTGCGTCAATGAATCGGGCGAATTGGCAATGGTATTTTTTCTGGATAAGTTTGAGTGTGGAGGATGCCGCTACTGCCAGTCAGCAGCTTACTTCAAAGCGTTTTACGTGCAATGTAGCCATGGACTAGAGCACAAGGCACGTTCGCTGTGAAAGCATTTTACGAAAACGGTGACAGTTCCGTGATCGCTCAGCGTGAATTTCAAAGAGAGTTTGGTATTCATCGCAATCGTGCTGTTCCATCTGCCCATGCCATCAAGACCTGGGTTCAAAACTTTGAGGCTACTGGTTCTACACTAAAGAAGAAAGGTGGTATCGTAAGAACAGCCCATACACCCGAGAATGTAGCGGCAGTGAGAGAAGCCATTGAACGAAGTCCACGCCGGTCTGGGCGTCGCCACGCTACATCACTCGGGCTGTCCGAAGCCAGCGTTCGGCGGATTTTGCAAAAAGGCCTCCACTTCTACCCCTATAAAATTCAAATTACTCATGCACAACGCGAACACTACTATGAAAACAGAGTTTATTTCTGCCAGACATTTTGCAATTAAGTAATCAAAACCAAGATGTCGTTAGCAACTTACTGATGAACGATGAAGCTCATTTCCATTTATCGGGGATTGTTAAGAAGCAAATTTTCCGCTACTGGTCAGCCACAAACCCCAAAGAAATGTATGAGAGACCAGTTCACAGTTCCGAAGTCACAGTGAGGTCCCCGTTATCTTCGTCTGGAATTATTGGCCCGTAATTCTTTGAAGATGAGTGGGAAATGACCGTAACTATGACTGGACCACGTTACGTTCACATGTTCGAGAGCTTCTTAGCTCCTGTACTTGCTCATCTTCCAGTCAAGGAAGAAACGTTTTTCCAGCAAGATGGGGCTATGTGCCACACCGCACGAGCTTCCATGGCAGCTGTGAATAACCTCTTTCCTAACCATGATATCTCCAGGTATGGAGACGTCATATGGCCAGCCAGTTCACCTGAAATTTCCACATGTGATTTTTTTCTCTGGGGTATCTGAAATCCCAAAATTTCAAAGCCCCAGCACCCCACACAGTTCAGGAGTTCAAAACATCGAATTCAGAAGTTGAATGAATTCCCGTAGAGATGCTGCAAAGAGTAGTGACAAATGAGTGACTTTAGGAAGAGACTTACAGAGTTCTTACAGCGGAATGGCTGTCATCTGTCTGATGTTATTATTGAGAAATAAACATGTTTTCAGAGAGTTAGTTGAGTAAAACTAAATGCATTTATATTTACACTGTACTAATAAGTGTTAAAACCAAATAAATGCAATAGTTTACTGCTCATAACGTTTTCAAAATCGCCCGATTCATTGACGCACTTTGTATTGGCGATTATTTCATTGTGTACTTAGCTTAAATTTTCCATGTAAATCTATTGGGTCCACTGGCGTGTTATTAATTATAAACAACTCTGTACTCATACACTGTATACTGTATACTTATAATATATATTATGTGCTATATATTTATAATAATCGTTATATGCGAGGGAGAGCCTTTAAATGGAGGTAAAATAACTGTAATGGAGGTAATAGGTTTTCTATTTGTATCACTAGGCAGCAGCACAGTCCAGATTCATGACCATCTAGCTTTCACATGAGCTTGTTCAGAGGCCTGTTTCAGTAGTTAAAATGGCGATCGTGCTTGAGGAGTATACTGTAGAAGAATAGCGTTCTGCCGTGCATACTTTATGGGCAACAGGACCCAATGCAAAGGATATTCACAAAAAAAATAATCTTTTTTATGTCATGAAATGTTTGCCGCGTAAAGCGGTTCTCAACTGAGCCAAGAAACTGAGGAAACGGAGGAATGGAAGTGGGTGAGGCGACAGTCAGAAGACTTTCATGTTGCGGGTTTTGACGCATTGGCAAAAGGATAAGATAAGAATATTTATGCTGGTGGAGGATATGTCGAGAAATGGTTTTACAGTTTCGAATATCATATTTTATATTTTATATTAATTTGTGACGTATTTGCTAAGTATCCCTACTAATTATAATACGCAACAGAGTATGCAATATAGAGTTGTGTTGGCAGGAATATAACAAATATTATCTACTGTCATTTAGTGACGTTTGACGTTCTGACGGCGGTGTCAAGGGTACAGTCTTCCGAAAAATGACACAATGTACTTCGATGGACGGGTATAAATTTTCGGAGGAACCTGCTGCCTCTCTTTTCATTGCAGAAGAGTACTTACATGCTGCCTCCGAAACCCCGGTACCAATTTACCGATCGGCACAACGCCACATCGCAGGAGATCATAATTTCGGCACGCATTATATTTGTTAGAAACTTGTTAATATTAATTTATGAAATAATATTTACTAAGAATAATGAAGAAAAAATGTTTTATGCGCGTGTCTTCCTTTAGATAACTAGGATTATATTTTTTTGTATTCTTGAAAATATGAAGGACGCCTAAGAGTGAAATCTTAAGTAAAATATTAGACTATGACTCGGTGAACCCTAGAATAGATTGGCTCTAGATGTTAAAATATACACAAAACCTGTAATGAATCTCGGTAACAAAAAAACAGAGATACTAAGAAACCGAAAGTAACAAGATGACGAACGTTAGTTCCAATTTTGAGACATCGCTGTGCGCTCTTACAATTTTGAGTGATGCCTGATGTTCGAAAAATATTGAAATTTTAGTAAAGCTCTCTTGTAGGATGTGGAACAGCTTGGCGTCCGCGAGAAATCTATGTGTAGCGGTCTCTTCGTGGTGATACGAACGGACAATATTACATATACAATGACGTACATAATATTATTATATATTTTTTTCGCATAGTGGGGAGTGGAGTCCAACTGGGTCCACTCGGCACGGCGGCTACTGTTTGGCCTATTTTACCTTCCCCGGGTGATTATGATGATGGAAAATTAGGTGGATTGAAGATTGACAGGGAAAACCGAAGTACTCGGAGAAAACCCGATCCAACGCCACTTTGTTCACCACAAATCCCGCTTGAACTATGGCGCGGCAAAGTACATAGTAAATAAACCTATAAGTTCTGAATGAAACACTTTTTTATATTAATTGTTACAAACTTGGCGACTTCTAAGATTTCAAGAATAGATCTCGAAAATTTGTTGTAGTGGAAATCTGTATTAAAGGAAATTAGGCACAAGAAATTGATCATGAATTGTACAATTACTTATTGATAATATTTGTTGCTCCTCCTACCCTTACCATACGAACTGAAAAATTCTAGAGGATTGCTTATTGTTTATGTCGATAATCCTGACGGGGAAGTCCAGCTCAGTAGCTCACAGTTGATTACACTAAAGACTTTGTTTGTCTTATGAAATACATTATTTTGGTGTTTTAAGCAACTTCATGATCACAAAAATTAAGATATTGTTGTTTCTTACTGCAGCTTGTGGCTAGATCCACGTGTTCTATTCAATATGTAAAGTTTTAATTGTTTGCAGTTTTATTTTCAGTGCGCATGTGCGGGTGACTGGAGTGATGGGGTGGGGCCAGAGCCCCATGGAGTTCGGTTAGGACCGTCTCCCCCCCTCCCCAGCCCCCCCGCTAATCCCACTCCAAGAACAGCATGGATCAACCCGACCGGGACCGCGGGCATAGGCCTCTTGCCTTTGACAAGGTAAGATTGATTGCTTATTTAATTCCTTCCACAGCGAGAAGTTCGTTTATTTGCACCAGCCAACACTGGAAAGCACTTCTGGCCCAAATACATTCATTGTGACGTTGCCAAGTAAATGTGTCATTGTTGCGAGCCTGTCACATTTCTCACGACGAAATGAACGGAGCCCAGAAATTATTTGTTCATACCATTTCCTCAGCGTTGAGCATATCGGAGAATGTTCCCGAATAAAAGGCGTAGATCTGGACAAAGCTGTCTCATGTGTGCATGTGTTGGGGGGCGGGGGGGGGGAGCCGCTCACTGCCCTGTACATCCGCATCTAAAAATACTCGGAAGGCTTGCTTCTTGTGTTCTGTCTTAGCATTGAGAATATTAAATCTTATGTATGTTTAATCTGAGGGTCTCAAAGTGGAGATTATAAAGTGAAATGTATTCTGGGTTATGACCAGTGTGGTCCGGTAAAACTTCATCGACGTTTCGGAAGGACGAAGAAGACTTAAACAATCTGTTACTCTTTTTATTCTTGTTCGTTTCTGACTCAGCATATTTTTGGCCTTCATGACAGAGGAAGTAGGTTCCTCCGAAACGTCGATGAACTCCTGTCGGACTACATGGCATCACATTCCACAAGATAGTATTCCTCACATGTAAGTACTCAGGATTCCAGTTCCTAAGTTCATGAATTTTGAATTTAAATCTCTACTGCTTAGATTATCGGTGTTACAATCATTGTTCTTTATTCATATTCTGACACGACTCTAGAAAGCCGGAATAGCAGAGCAAGAGTAGACGTTCATTGCTAGGCAACAACCCGGTAAACACGTATCCATGGCTATTATTGAGCTATTTCGATGGAAACGGTGTCTTCTGTGGGTCTCCGGCCAGTGGAATGAGAATTGAGGGAATTTCTTAAGACGCAATCGGAGATGGTTCAGAAGAGATGGCAACGAGTTAGTTGAGTTACAAGAGTTCAGTTGAGGCTTGAAAGTCAGCCTGTGAAGGGAAGACTTCGAATGTGATTTGGAAATTTCATGTGCCCTGAAGTTTCAGTGAGACTGTTACAAATACGTTGGCAGGATATAACTAATTCAGATTGAGGAAACTTACACGTAGCATCTCATAGTGATTTGTAATGTAGAAATCAGCAGTAGTATTACAATTATCAGTAATTACGAGTTCAGTGTATAAGTGCAATGAATCCAATCATCCAATTAAAAACCCGTATAAAAGTCACGCACCCGAAAACAAGTGACAATACATTAATTACCTTCGATTTTGAAACAGTTATGCTCCACGCTCGACCCTCTAATGGAAAGGCATGACGCTAACTCCAGCAAAAACAATAACTCCTGAATTTTTGGCTTGAAATAAATCCGAAATATTTTGCTTTTCAGAAAATGAAGCGCGATTAGATACGCGAGCTGCTGTTGTGTTGACAGTAGGATCGTGCCACCGTATGTAACGGAATGAAGAGAGTGGACGGTATGAAGAAAGTGAAGCAAATGAACGGAAATTACCAGAAAAATAGTACATGAATTTGCTGATTGCATTGTCTGACGGAGAATCTCACGGCATAAACGGCGTGAATCTTCTTACACAGCTCAGTTTTCTAGGGCATTCAGCCCGAAATACTGCATTTCGGGCCCTTTCAGTAGGACACGTCATTACACGGCTCCTTTCCGAACGCAGACAGCATAGAGTGTTATTTCATAATTACCAAAGGAGCATAATTTTTCAGATTTACAATAAAGAACTACTGGCGGACGACTGGGTTAGAGGCTAAAGAAGGCTGGGTTGACCTTTGTGTTCATTTGGAAGGCAATGGCGACTAACGTGGATTGTACTGGTCTCATGTTAAAGATAATTTCATGGCCTGTAGTCCACAAGCGAACTATACCCACCGAGCGACCGTCGCTTGTCAGAGAAGTTAGTGCCAACTTTAGCGGATAGAGGGTGTCGCATGGTCAGCGCAATGAATCCCCATGGCCGTTAATCTCGGTTTTCTAGTAGGATACAACGGCAGCTTTCTATCGGATTTTTTTTTGTCGTCTTGTATACAGGAGCTCCATCCCGGAACGAGGCCTGGGAAATTTGAATGTTTACTTCCCGGCTCTACCAGATTTTCTGAGAAGTATTGGGTCTGCAATGGGGTCCACTCAGCCTCGTGGGGATAATTGAGGAGCTACGTGTATTTCAAGGAAATCGCCGCTACGGTCTACAAAACCGATATTGACGACCGTAGGGATCCGTTGCTCTGACCAAGCAATGCTCTCTCTCCGCAGAAATTGGCACTAACTTTGCCGATAAGCGGCTGTCGCTCGGTCGGTATAGTTCGCTTGCAGACTACAGGTCATGGAGCTTCATTTTTTGTTACTTCAATGCGAATGTACTCCTTGGTGGTGTGATGTTTAAACAGGGAATAGCAAAGAAATGTGATATGTGCTTAGGCAGAGTACTCCAACTTAATGATTGCTTAAAATACCATGGTTATTATGCCTACTTGGGAAAGAAAAGCCTTTGTCTTTCTTTATCACCTGAAGACGGAAACAGATTCAGTTTTCGAATCGTCGTGTTTTCTGTTTCCTAGAATTCCGGACAATGAAAAAAGTTAAAAAAAAAACAGTAATTCTGTCAGTTATTTCTTGTTTGGAAGAAAGTATTCCTAATTCTTCCTGAGAGATTGAGGAAACTCACGGACATATGTGTTTAGGATATTCGGTTATCTGACTGAGATCTGAACTGCAGTCCAGAACCAGCATGTCCGGTCTCTCCATTGCTACAGTACGTGGTAATGTGTCCTTTGCTGGGTTAAGTATATGACGCAGCTTCTCATTGAGGAGGCCCGCTTTCAACAGCAGACAGTCCGTTTGTGATTTATGGTGCAGAAAATTGCATTAAGACAGACATTTTTCCGGGTACTTTGGGTTTCTTCTGCCAATGTTCCACACTCACTATGAACATTGTCAACGTGGCTTGATAAAATAGGTCGAATTGAACCCGCATTTGCCTAGCTACTACAAGAATACTGGCAACTACTGCCCCTAATGCAACGGATACCATCATGCAAGTGCTTCTGGTTTCATTTTGTATCACCGTCACAAGTTTTATTTTCTCAAACATGGTCGTGAACTACGTTAAAACAAAAAGCAAATTCAATGAAAATGTGAATTCTTTAGCATATTGTCATGTGTCCGTGGTTCTGTGACTAATAATAAAGGTCATGGATTGGATGATTGGATTTATTAACGCATTCTTTTAAAATCACTCTTAATTAAAATCAACTACAATAACTCACAACCAATCTATTGCTGAAGACTTGCTCCATTGTCGTTCTTCTCTCTCAGTTCTCTTACAGCTTCTGAACTACCCTAAGCGTTCTCAAGTGTCCTCCCTTTAACTTCGGGAAGGACCGAATATAGATCACCACATCCAACAGTTCCACTATTATTCTGTGCTCATTCATTGTGAGGAAATTGTTAGCGACCTGTTACCCGGCAAGAGATATCCCTCTATTGTCGAGAGCGTAACTGCCGGAATGTGTTTGCGGAGCCGTTGCGTAGCAATCTAATAAAGCGGGAGAATAACTGTGTACACCTTGCAGTGAATTGCAGGGAGTGAAGCAAAGTGGCCGTGAGCTAATCAGGTATGTAGCTGACGCGGCTGCAGAATGGGAAAGGTATTTCAATCGAAACCTGACCGGACACTTCCAAATACAAGCAAGAGACATAACTAATGTGCCATCCTCTCGGAGGGGCGGAGATGGGAGAAACATGACACAAAATGGCAAGCTATGGCCAAGGCCTTGTGGAGGCAGGATCCATTCTGTTTGCTCTCTCAAGCGCGCTGTGAACTTGCCATAGTAACTTTGACATTCCTTCGTTATTTAGGTCTTGTATTAAAAAGCCATGGGGGCACGTGGTAGCGTAGTTGGTTGAGGCACTATGCTACGAGCCGGAAGTTGCGGGTTCAAGTCCCGATGAGGTCATTGGATTTTTATCAGTTGACTTAATCCTTCCAGCCGCACTATGGCCCTGGGGTCGTCTCAGCCTCTAACAGAAATGAGTACCAGGAATTAATTAAATAACTTTCCTGGGGAGTAAAGCGCGATCGGTGCGTAAGGCTGACAGCCTTACCGCCGTCTGTGAGCCGATTGTCTAGATAATGTGGGACCCTCAACGTCTCACAACCCTATGGACCTACACGGCCTGTTACAGGGTTACCTTTACTTTACTTTTTTTTATTAAAAAGCCATCAGAACCTATTACAAACCTTACGAATTAATAACAATCTGTCTCCATACGAAATATGTCCTTTAGCAGGGTGGCATGGCACATCCTACGGTGGAGATGAAGACACCGCTGCCTATGAATTCAATAAGCAATTGTAGACAACTGATACGGGGTGGGACTCCAGATCTGGGAATGGGCGAGCGGCTCTCAACTATACCACCGTAACATTTTAGCGAGTTTCGGAATTTTATAGTGGCCTCAGATGTGAACGTCTCCATGGCACGAGCCGTAAGAAATACGAAGTGGGGATGTGAACTGGAAGAACCTCAGTCCGAATTGGATTCGGGGGCTGGATTCGTGGCCGTTGTAATGAATCCTCGGCCTCAATTTGTAAGTAAAAGCGAATTGTTAGGTTTTCTTTGTTTAACGTAAACCTATATTTTCATTGGCCGTGCTTTTACCCGCGGCTTTAAGTTAACTGCATCTGCCATTGAAACACTCATCATAAGGTGAACTCTTTTCAAACCGACGATGGACTACAACTCACTCTGAGGCGGAGGAGACCAGGTCAAAGAACTGAGATCACATTTCCCCTTCACCTGTTCATAAAATTAAGAAATCGAAACTGCGACCAAATATTTTACGGTCATCTTAATCACATTTGGAAAAAAGACTACGCACCGAGCAAGAAACTTCATTTGACAGTGATTGACTTTTATTTTGGACATGCCTCTTTCGAATCTTCTTTGAAAGACAATTCTGACAGAAGAC